CTATATATATATATATATATATATATATAAGAAAATTAGAACCTGAACTTTTTTTTTCGAAACGATGAATTTTATAACTCGAAAAACAAAATGTACAACCAGGGCCACTTCCCAACAATAGACTCATGCATTGGAAACAAATTCGAGCATCTCAATTAATCAACAACTGAACGAATGTAAGGTTGCTGCCAAAAAATAAATCGATGTATCATATAAATGAAGTGTGTATACACAAAAGTATCTAAAGATAGAAAAGGAGAAAAAAAAAAAACAAATTCAAGTGAAACATCTTTGTCGAGCCATTAAGATGTCAGTCCACCAAAAACCTGTAAAATGATTCCAGATATAGAGCAGCTGTATTGGCAACAAAGCAAAAGAAAAGGTGAAAACAAAAAATAAATGAAAGTGTGTTTGCACCTCAGGACAAGATGACAAGTCCAAGATATATAGCTCCACATAAAAACATGAAGGATATCATTCCCCTGCAAAATTATTTCAATTAGTAACAGAAAAAAATCAAAAAAAAAAAATCTTATATGATCGATAATGCTGAGGACTATCAGAATTGATTTATTTAAAATATAACTTTTATTTTTTTTTTCAGTTTTTTTTGGTTTTCCGCAACCTTCAATTCACAAAGTGTTTGAAGAAAACAAAGATAAGCATATACCAAATAATTCCCCATCCAACTCCATTACAAGGACAAGGGCAAAGTTCTGCAAACTTCTCAGCATCGCTCGAGTGAACTCTTCGAGATATCAAATCGTCATATATATCTGCAATTATAAAGAAAATGTAACTTCGTTTAAATTTGGTTGTATTCCACTTCATTCACTTAGTGTGAGATAATGGATGAGTATTTACCATAAACAGAAAACAAACTATTCATAACACCTGCCACAAAAGGGAAGAAAAAAATATGCGTAAGGAACTAGAAAATTTTATAATGTAAGGGGATTGAATGACGGAAAAGAAAAATATATGAGAAAGGTAGAGCCATACCAATAAAGAGAATAATGTAGCGAAGAATACGAACTGTAGTCAGTTCTTGCAGCAGCCAAATAACACCGATAAAAACGATGAATCCTGGCAACACAAAAAACATGAAGTGATTACTATAATGGATTTGCAAAAGTAATTTTTTTTCACCAATAAAATAACTTACCAATGCAAAGCCCACGAAGTGTCCACTGCGCAAAAATCAAACAAAACAGCGTAATAATAAGTAAAAATCTCCAGAAATAGAGATATTAAAAGAAAGGAACTTATCATAGTTACATATGGAAGCCTCCTTCAAAGATTCTTACATTTTTGGCTATGAAGAGGACAATAAGAAGGGAAAGAATAAGACAACCGGCAGCAATCCTTGCGGTGAGTAGATTTGTTGATGCAAGTATGAGAGCCATTCCCCAAAATGATGAACCGAGATCTACGGCCACAAAGAGATCATAATAAAAAAACTAAATGATGAAATTATATGTAATTTTTTAAATAGTGTTTCTCACACAAAGGAAAGAAAAAAATAGCTGCAAATGAATGAAGGGAAAAAAAAAGAGCAATAAAATTGCAAGAAAAATAAGTATATAAAATGAACCTTAATGGTAATATAGGGTCTTACATCCAGCTGGCAAGATCAACCAATAGATGCCGCCACGTGTCTGAGTGACCCCACCTTCATTTGCATGAACTTGAATGCCCTCTACCTGCATGTAAATGCACATGAGATATCTCTGAGTGTAAAACAAATATGTAGAGAAAAATGTTGAAAATGATCGCCGGAATTAGAAAATTTGTTTTGATTTCAAATACAATGACAAACTTGAGTCTATATGCAAAGCTTTGGTTACTGCAAAAAATAAAAATAAAAATAAAGAAAAATGGAAAAGTATAGCATATTGCTTAATTGCGAACAAATCTTTCTTAATCCAAATCAATCAAGATATTTTCTCATCGTTCTTGCTAAAATTTGTGAGATTCAAATAAAAGTTAGTGGCTATAAAACACTGATTCTTTATCATTAGGAAAGATTTTGGAGATAGTGACAATAAGATGTAAGGTTTTTCCAGATACTAAACAACTAATTTATCATCTTTATATCTTGCCGTACATTTATATGTATCGAAACTCAGTTCTTTAGGAACCAGAAAAGAATATAGAAGTCCTAATTTTCAGGGATTGTATTTATAATAGATTTGTTTTTCACTCTCATCTTCTACAATCACTTTAATTGACTCATGAATATGCAAATCAAATTTCAACAATCCTAATAATTTAACTGCAAAATATGTGCCCTGAAGGAAATTATCAAGAGGAAAATGGTTGCATACATCACGAGT